TGTAAATGTGAATAACAAAGTTGTAACAGCCTCAATGTCAGAAAATGAAACACCATGCTGTTGACTAAAATAATACATGTCATTTAGCAGACACTTTTATCCAAAGCTACTTACATTCATGCACGCATATATATATATATATATATATATATATATATATATATATATATATATATATATATTTTTTTTTACATATGGGTGGTGCTGGGAATTTAACCCACTATCATGGCATTACAACCGCCGTGATCTACCAACTGAGCTACAGAAGACCACAAGTGTTGATTGACTACGTGTTGATCTAAAAGTAAATAGAATCTGAAAAATACTTCTAAACAATATTTCTGAAATGTAGCAAACAATTAACTGTAATCCTATAAGGAGAATATCAATCAAGAAGATTTGGTATGTTATTTTCAGACATTGGTATGGCAGTCCTAACTAATAACACAATTGAGATTAATTTGGAATTGCAATATCTAAATCAAACAGGAGTTTATGGATCACTTAATAACACAATAACATGTATTGCCATTCATACAATGTTGCCACCATTCATGTCTACCAAATGACATGCAATGGTCAAACACTGTAGCCTATGTGCTGTGATGAAAGAAACAGGGCCTTTAACTAACCCTAACACCACCGGCAAATTCCCGCTAGCAGGTCAGCCAAAAGGACCTCACAGTGTCAGCCGCCCACGCTAGTGTAAAACTGGAGCCATCGCTGCCTATTACCTAATCTACACACTCCAATAAACACTTCAACAACTACATTAGTTTCAGATATAAATACTTTCCTTCCATGTTATATTGCGGGGATGTTCCTACGTGTGACCATTGTGACCAGGTGGTAGAAAGTCACAGCGTAAACTAGAGTATTGTCAGTGTTCTAATTTGGGCTACTATATAGGTGGCTAGTGTCCCATCGCAGAGATGGGCAAGCAGGATATGAGGCAGAAGTTTCAGAATATCTGCTCCACTGAACTTGCAAAAGATCTCTTGGATCTTTTTTAAAACAAAAAATGTGGAGCTAACTCAAGAACCTTAAATATCTGATGAACTTTGTTGTATTATAATAGAAAATGTATTTTAAATGTATGGTTTAATAAAACATAATTAGATTTATGATGCTAAACAAAATAGTTTAATGCAAGTATATGTTATTGCACCGCTCTCTAACTCCTTCACAGGCACACCAAGTTGTCACCGAAAGGGGAAATTCCTGAAAAACAACCAAAAGCAGTTATCAATGACTAAGCTTTGCAGCTGTACACTGGGCTATTACTGGATCAACCTTATTGTACAAAGGGCACAGTCTATTTTCACAGACAACCTTTTCAGTCAGCCCTGATCATGGCTATTGTTGACTGACATCATCAAGGCCTCAGACGATAGTTAAGAGAAACGTATTTCCACAATACAAAGAGAAAGGAGTCCCCCCATTATTATGGGCATGGCATTCCCCTCTCAGCCTGTGAAAACAGTAAGCACAGTAGAACCTGAAGGTCGCTGACGGTATGCTATGAGACATGATGGGAGCTAGACTGCCCACTGGGCAAAAACAGGTTTAATCAACATTGTTTCCACGTCATTTCAACAACAATAAATCAATATGATCATGTTGAATCAACGTGGAAAACTGATTGGATTTACAAAAAGTAATCAACATAAGGGAATTTCGTATTCTTTTAACCCAACTTTTAACCTAAATCCAATGACATGGTGAAATGTTTTGTTGATTTTACTTTGAATTCGTTAGTTGACAAATGTCAATCAAATCTACCTTGAAATAACGTCTGTGCCCAATGGGTGGTGACTCATAAGGGACTGAATGGATGTCAAAAGATTACTTCTGTACTCACCACCCTGAAAAACGCTGTGAAGGAAAACTGGAAAGTCTGTTGATTGCCTATACAGTAAACATGACCATGTCAATTTGTAGTTGATTTAGGATTTGGATATTGTATTCACTTATTCTGAAATCTGCATTGAGATCTATATTTATCTTCGGACAAAGAATATTAGCTGTAACTTCATACCATGTCATCATCCTGTAAGGTCAGTTGAGATTGCTGATGGTAGGCCTACCAGTCCCAAACACATTTATAGACAGACCCCCTTAAAATGAAACAGTTTGACCCTTTACTTTAGGCTACATTATTTTTGCATCTTAATATTCTCGTTTAGGTGAATTACCTGGTGGACCAACTTCGTTTGTAGATGCAGGTGAGTGGTGGCAAGATTCTCATACAGTAGTTGTGTCACGAGATCAGCCAGTAGCATAGGGCATGCGCGCTAGAAAGATGCGCTCTCTTTGAAGTTGAAGAGGTGGCTGGCGGGAATCTGTCAAGTGTTAGGGACGGAGAATGACTTGAGAAGGTAATTCATCGCTGTTTGATTAATATAGTTTCTGAAAACTTTAATTGGTACCAATTTAGAAATTAAGTTATTTCAATGTTCCACATTTGACATAATTACAGACTATTTGGCGTATGCTAACCTTTTTATTTGTAGAGGTCGGTTGGCTAACGATCAAGGCCTGTAGTTAGCTCAGTTTAATGTAGTAGGACATTTATGTCTCTTACTTTGTATTGAAAGACCACAGTCTGCAATCGCCGATATTCTCGAAGTTTTGGCTAGTGAGGCTACTGTAACAAGTTCCATCATTAATACAAAATGTAACATGTCGAGATAATGTGCACTGTTATCAAGATGATACAGTATGAGACTCTTCTATGTGTTTAATACAGGTGCTGGGTTACATGGTTTCAAGAGAGGATACAAGTAACAGTTCGCCAACATTGGAGGAACAGAAGGCATCTTGAATATCTGGTAAGACAATCAATTACAGTATTGCTATAGTCAGAGAGAATTCTCATTTGATAAACAGCCTAAAAACATATTTTAAAAAATCCATTGTGAGGGGCAGCCCCTAGACTGCATACATGTCAATTAGGCCTATGTAATGGAAATTAAATTATTTCATATTTCTATTTGGATGGCAAGAGTCACGATTACGTATAATTACATATAATAATTTACACACATAATTCTCTTTTCTAGATGGAGATGGCTGAAAGAGCGGAGACGGAGTACACAGAATCTGGCACATTTTGGGATTCACCCAGGAGAGGAAAAACAAAAAATAAATCAAAGAAAGACAAATGTCTAAAAAAGGACAAAACCCACAGGACAGAGGTGAAAGAGGCTGGGATTGAAAAGAAAAAGAAAACCAAAAAGTCCAAAGGTAAGCAGAAGAAGAAAAAGAAGGGGGAAGTAGCGCTGGGATTACAAGATAGCTATTTTATTTTTGAGGGCAACAGTGCACCTAACCCCGCAATAAAGCCTGGGGGAAAGTCGACTGTCAAATTTGCTGTAGAACATTGCATTCAGAAACAGGAACCTGTGCCGGTGGTAAGTGACTCAGTGAAGGTACCCAAGAAGAAGGCCCAGAGAAAAAAGAAAGTTGCATTTGATTTATTCCCTGATTACATACAAGCAAAACAGCCAAAAGTAGTCAAGTGTTGCACCTCAACAACCAAAGACAAAGCAAAAGACACTTTTCACTGGGAAAGCCCCAAGAGTGACAACGAGATCAACTTTTCTGGGACTTATCAGTGGGGAGAGGGGCAAGGAAATGGGACAGAGTATGGAAAGGGACAAGACAACTCTCAAAGTACTGCTGAAGATGCCAACAGTGAGGACCTGTTTATAACTCAGAAGAAATTCAGAGTACTAACATCTTCAGATCACTCCAGCAGTGGAGGCACTGGTGAAGCTAACACCACAACAGTGCCCAGGCATACCAAGTCACTTGTAGAGCCAAAAGAGGAGCCACTGCTCTGGAAGTCAATATCTGAGGCAGCCACTCAAACAGAGAACTTCTTTACCTCACAGATCTCCACATTCCTCAGATTTCACCAGTCGTGTGGAGCTGCCGAGTGCTCAGAGCAACCTACCGACCTGAGTCTCCCTAACAGGATGAGGGCAGAGATGGGCCTACATCCCCCATCATCTCATAGAAAGGCCAATGAAGAGGAAACCAGCCCCCCACTTGGCCAGAAGTCAACAGACACAACGTCAAGTGAGGAGAATGACCCATTCTGGCGGTGCAAGAGTCAAGTTAAGGCAGTTCAGATGAGACTGAATGAATCTTTCTTCTTTAAGATGAAGGGCGAGGGACAGTCCCCGAGACCACAATCTCCCTTGATGAAACTTACACAGGCCCGTGGTGGGAAGAAAACAAAAAAGTAAGAAGTGAAGTTCTTCAAACCTGAACTTTCCCACAAGAACTATGGGGGACCCAAAGGTTGAACAAAAAAAGTCAAAAACAATTTAATTTCATTAGTGATAGTAATTCACAAGGATACATTTTCTTTGTGGTGTTCTTGGTCCTAGGTTCCCAAAATAGGTTCATCTTATAGGTTCACATGTTATTCAACATTCAGTTTCAAGTTTCATTAAAAACACATGCAATACATTTTTTATTGTTGCACATTTTATGGAAGAAATTGCATGTCACTCATCAAATAAAGTTTCTTAATTTATTGTCATTGAATGTCATTTTCTTCTTACAGAATCATGTGGTGGATCATTAGCTGTGGTAGCAATAACAGCTTCATGTACAACACCATCACCACAGTACACATCACTAATTTAACCTTTATTATTAGTCACGTCATTCAACTGAAATGCTATTCATGTAAAGCGTACACTAATTGTGCCTGAATAGCTTCATTCCAATCCACTTCCATAGATGGAAAAACACATAGACAGGGATGGTGACTGGTAACAGAAGACTGTAGAAACACACACTACTAGTGCTTGTACATCCCTGAGGGAAATTCTCATCTACAGTCGCAGAATAGAAAAGTCCAAATAGGGAGACTACTGGAACCAGTACTGTGAGGGTAGAGAGAGAAAACATATTGACTTCTAGCTAACAACTCATTTAAACACTGTTCAGGGTCAAGATCTTCTTGAGTCTTTACTGTTTGTGTGTTATGCCTGCTGTGCTGGTTTCACTGGTGTTTCAGGATCTTTTTTAATCAATCTTGCATCTGTGGGAATCATGTTGGGAATCCCATCAATTATTGGGTATGCGATGCCAAGCTCCTCGTTGATGAGTTCATTGGTATTTACCTCATACCTGAGTGAGAGACGAGAGTACAACAATTAGGCTAGCTAACGTTAGCTAACTGTTAGCTGATGCTACCTATAAAGCTGAGCAGCTATGCCATAGCAAAACAAGATTGACGTTGGATTAGGTAAATTAGTAGAAAGGTGGTAATGTATAATAACATGACTCACCTCAATTGCTTTTTGGATAGTGGACAAACGATAAATTCGAGCAAGGAAGTGTCGAAGTGTTGTGCGTCCTTCCCATCTGTCAAATGCCTTGCAGATACAGGCAGAGGTCCTACGCCCCGTAAAAAAATCACATATTTGACAGACCTTTGAATACTCCAAGTTTCATTAACTAATCTTCTTAAATAATTCTGAAACATGACCGAAGTAGCCAGTAGATGAGCCTTTTAGGGTGTTGTTGTGTCCGCAATCAACAACAGTTCAAGCTAAGCAGGAAGAACACACGTAATTGTCCTGGTGCATCATAAATGTAATCCCCAGTATCTGATTAATTAGTTCCGACCTCTAGAAATTCAACTGAACATTGGAGATTTAACAACAAATAGTGAAAATATTAAAAATAATTTAAAAAAGCAGAGCCAGTGTTAAATTGTCAGCTATATTAATATTATGGACGACTGATACAGGCTAATATAAAAAATGTGTGTGCAGATTTGACAAGTGTTTTACATGCCTGACCACGAGATGGCAGCACAGACTCACAAAGGTATTTTACTCAAATATAATGTCCGTGTTCGAGAGGATCAAAACCGTAATGTGTCATTGGTCAATTGTGACTGACTGATCTACAAATACTAATGAGTAGTTATTTATGATAGGTGATTTGTAGATCAGTCAGTCTGCAGTCGCCTTTACTGTCGGCGGCAATGTCGAACAATCCCAAAGTGTGAGGTTATTTACAGCAGCGTTGCCATGTCCTTAGTTTTCCGAAAATTGGGCTACTTTGAAAACGATGTCGCGGGTGAAAATGTATTATTGGTCGCGGATTGCGGGTTTTTGTCCTACTTTTAAATTGCACCGCGGCCGCCATGGCATTTCTCTTTACATTTGTGTTTTTTTACAGGTACCTGCTGCTGACTATCAGGCAGTGAGTCAGGCTGTTGCTGAGGGAATTAGTTAGTGGTGGGGAGTGGGAGGGCCGGAGGTGTGTGTGAGCGCTGCAGGCAGCTGAGTGATTGAGAAGAGAGGAGAGCAGAGCAGCCCTGCTCTCCTCTCAATTCAATTCAATTCAATTCAATTCAATTTCAACGTATGTTAACATTGCCAAAGCAAGTGAAGTAGATAGTAAACAAAAGTGAAATAAACAATACATTTAACAGTAAACATTACACTAAGAAGTTCCAAAACAATAAAGACATTTCAAATGTCATATTATGTTTATGTACAGTGTTGTAACAATGTGCAAATAGTTAAAGTACAAATGGGAAAATAAATAAACATAAATATGGGTTGTTTTTACAATGGTTTTGTTCTTCACTGGTTGCCCTTTTCTTGTGGCAACAGGTCACAAATGTTGCTGCTGTGATGGCACACTGTGGTATTTTACCCAGTAGATAAGGGAGTTGATCAAAATTGGGTTTGTTTTCGAATTCTTTGTGGATCTGTGTAATCTGAGGGAAATATGTGTCTCTAATATGGTCATACATTTGGCAGGAGGTTAGGAAGTGCAGCTCAGTTTCCACCTCATTTTGTGGGCAGTGTGCACATAGCCTGTCTTCTCTTGAGAGCCAGGTCTACCTACGGCGGCCTTTCTCAATAGCAAGGCTATGCTCACAGAGTCTGTTTTTTGTTAATTCTTTCCAATGTGTCAAGTAATTCTCTTTTTGTTTTCTCATGATTTGGTTGGGTCTAATTGTGTTGTTGTCCTGGGGCTCTGTGGGGTCTGTTTGTGTTTGTGAACAGAGCCCCAGGACCAGCTTGCTTAGGGGACTCTTCTCCAAGTTCATCTCTCCGTAAGTGATGGCTTTGTTATGGAAGGTTTGGGATCGCTTCCTTTTAAGCGGTTATAGAATTTAACGGCTCTTTTCTGGATTTTGATCATTAGCGGGTATCGGCCTAATTCTGCTCTGCATGCATTATTTGGTGTTTTTCGTTGTACACTGAGGATATTTTTTGCAGAATTCTGCATGCAGAGTCTCAATTTGGGTTTTGTCCCATTTTGTGAATTCTTGGTTGGTGAGCGGACCCCAGACCTCACAACCATAAAGGGCAATGGGTTCTATAACTGATTCAAGTATTTTTAGCCAGATCCTAATTGGTATGTCGAATTTTATGTTCCTCTCACTCACTCAGCTCCCTGCTGCCTGCAGTGCTCTCTCAACACACACACACCTCCGGCCCTCCCCACCATTCACTCATTCATTCACTCAGCAACAGCCTGCCTCACTGCCTGATAGTCAGCAGCAGCAGGTAACGGTGAAATTTATATAAAAAATAAAAAAAGAGAAATGCCATGGCGGCTTGGTCCAATTTAGAAGTAGCCCAAAAAACCGCAATCCGCGACCAACACATTTTCAACCACGACATCGTTTTCAAAGTAGCCCAATTTTTCAGGGTAAACTGTGGGCATGGCAAGTGATGTGAGAACAACAAACTAACAGCACTAGATAGCTACATACTTCTCCCTCATGTGGCATCTCCTCTTGCTGCGAAAAAAAATTGTTGGGCTAGTTTTCAGGCTTTGTGGCCGGGTTTTGAGTGGTCATTGTGCTAGAAATGTTTTTCAGGCAACCCTGATTTACGTTTTAGTCATTCGCAGACACTCTTATCCAGAGTGACTTACAGTAAGTGCATTTATCCCATGATATATCCTTACACATTATATGGAAATGAGTCAAGTAGAGACAATGTTTTATGCACAGAAAAAGTCATCACTGCCTTTATTGTTCAAATGCAGCTTTAATGAAAGTCACATAGGCCTACAGAAAAAGTAAAGGCCAAATTTTACATTGAGATGGCTAAAAAAGCTTGGAAGAAGAAAGTGATATATTATGGTAGAGTTGAGGATATTGCTCTGAGAGTTTTTAGTGAAGGCATTCAAGTGTTTTAGGTTCTGTGAGCGCACTGCTAACACAATAGAATGCCTCCAGGCTCTAAACTGCAGCAGTGTAAGTAGATTGAAGCCTGTGAGTGTCCAGTTCACCGTTACCACCATTACAGACCCTGAGGACAAGCTTCTGCTTCAAGCAGGAACACATAACTTGATGAGGCTGAGGCTCCTCTCTGATTACATTCCATAAAGAAATATCAAACTCTGCTACCCAGTGGAGTCTGATATCCTATTTCTGATGCATACAGTAGACTACAGTTTACTGTGTGCAGATACTGGATAATTATTTGATATCTATCACAAACTTCAAGGTAAGTCTCTTTAAAAGCATGTTCACAAAAAACAACAGATAGTGCCATTGTCTTTTCCAAAAAAGTTCCCTTTGCCTCTCGCTTCAATCCTTCTAACTGACATCCTTTCATCCAGGCACGTTTCTTCTGCCCAGGCGTGGCTGATGCCTACCAGATCTTACAACGCCTGGATAGGTGTTTTACGTATCAGCTAACCACATCATATGCTATAGCAATCTGTCAATGACACAGTCGATGATGTGACACGCAACCATTGGTTGATGGATGCAACGTCTGAGCAGAGGAACGTGACCATTGTCTCTTCATGTGACCTTTAAAGCTCATGAGTGACATGAGTCATTAATCTGTACTGAGAACTACATGCCTCAAAGGGTAGAGGAGGAAATTATCAAATTTTTTGTTTTGTTTTTTTACATCTAAAAAAACAGCTTTTAGAAGACAGAATGAGACTCTTCCAAAGCGATATCGTCATTGTGATAAATAACCTTGCTCTTTATGACCTTTCAGAGCTCCTGAGCATGACTGAGAGTAAATGGGATTAGGAGGTAAACTTTCTTAGGTCTGAATTAAGTGTAGCGGCTCTCATTTAGACAGCATTACAGTCTCATTATTGTTTGAAAAGCTCAAGAACAAGCTCATCAATTATCAGACAGATTTAGTTCACAGGTACAATGTAGCCACAATGGTGATTCCTTGCATAGGTTTGAGCTTATCAAAACAGGAGTCTTTCTCTGCAAACAGGGTTTTCATTTCCAATTCCACGTTAAAATACTGCCAACCCAGCACACTCTGTGAGTCTGATAATCAGCTCCCTATGGTCCTCTTCCCTCCCCAACACCTGAGCTTCCCCATCAATGAGACATCAAAATGAGAACTGCAGCAGTGCCTTAATACCCCTGATATACAACCATTCCCAGAAGTAACAAAGCTTACCCTAAAATTAAATCTCATGGTTAGTCAGCAGTGAAACGCACCAAGGCGTGAGAGGGCCCACATTCTGCATCATTACTGTTCCTTCAAGGTCCCCAAGTGCTTCGTTGCCCATGTAAATCACTGGGCCGTATTTAGCAGTGACTGTGTTGTGTTTATTCATTTTGAGTGTTAATTGGATGAGCTGTAATGCAGCAGTGTTGATGGGAGGAGATGTTATGGTTATAGACACTTGTTTGACCTTTCTTTGATCAGCCATTCAGAGGCTTCAGCCCATAATGAACGGATTGTGAAAAGTTATATTTGACTTTGTTTGCGTGTATGTATTGCACTGAAGGGTCTGCCATTGATTTATCATCTGGCTGGTTGGTAACTGGTAACATTGTGACCCATGTGCTGAAGTCTCAGTCTACAGACCTTGAGTGATGCAGAGAGTAAAGGTCAGGAGTACAGGGTTACGTCCTCAGCTGGTAAAGTGGATTATAGCCTACTGAGGCACCCACCCAGAGCAGCTAGATTAGTCTGCCCTCGGATAGATCTCTCCTCCGAATATGTTTTTATGCATCATGCCTTTAATGTCCTGAAATCCTCTTACATGACTTGAAAGGCATATTATTTCCACCTCTCTCCAGGGTCGGCGAGGAGGGATGGGGTTCATTTTCACCCTACATTCTTGTTGCTGACAGGTCCTCAGGCCCAGCTCTAAAGTCAGTGGGGTAAAGTGGCTTACTTGTATCAGGGAAATACAAGAGTTACTGTAGTTTCAAAGTACATGTTTTATGGATGGTTTGCAGTGGCTCAGTCAGTGTAGTGACGTGCAACCCATCTTAAACAGACCAAGGAGATGGAGTGTGGTTTTCAAGCTTATAAATTCTCAATTTTGCAGTCATAGTAACAGGAACATGTAGAACCCAAAAACGTTTCTGCTAGGGGCCCAGTGCAGGGTGTGTGAAGTGAAATAATCTAATAGACTACATCATGTGAGGTCTTCATAGTCAAGGACTCTTGTTCCCGTTGTCTTTTAATCGTCACAAGTAAATAAATACTTTTTGTTCATTAATTACCACAG